GCAAGGGCGAACTTGATTTTTCCAAAAATAAAAAATATTTTTGAAATACTCATTCATTTTGCTACAATTTGACGTTTTGATTTTATCTGTCCCACACACCATAGCGTTAAAAAATGAAAACCATTTTGGCTAACTCAATCAATCCACTACCCAAAAAAAATTGGACAAAAACATATCTCACCCATAAACTACCACATGGTGCTTAGTAGTACGTACATGTCATGTTTCATGAAAATATAATAATATAGAAGTTATGATGAGAAATAGTTATTTGTTTAACTAGGCAGCAAAATTAGCTGGATTCCTAGCCTCGCTACGCTCGGCTATGAATTCAGCCGCGGCAGTCAATCTACTTTGCTGCCGAGTTGAACATATAATTTTTTCTCCGATTGTTCATAATTATATAGGTGGATATTGTAATTGCAAGTTATTACAATTCCCACAATCTCTTTATTTTTTCTGTAGTGTTCATCAATTAAAATGAAATTTGATAGAAATCGCAGTTGTCCATGATAATTATAGTTTGACAATTCATGAAAATTCTGACATATGTGCGAAAAAATATCGGTATATTTAAATTATCATATAATAGACAGTTATAGCGACCTGGAAGTACTTACACCTCCAGAAATAAGGGAGGTGGCAAAAAACATAGAGTTGAATTTGTTGCCGGAGAAGTCTCGAATGAAATATGAAGGAAATTATAGACGGTTTATAGATAATTAATTTTGCTGATACATATCCATCAGCAAAGTAACCACTCTGCTGCCTAGGCAGCAAAGTATGCACTTTGCTGCCTAGGCAGGAAAAGTAATACTTTGCTGATTGATATGTGTCAGCAAAATTAATATTTGCTGCCTATCGGAGAAAAACGAATTTACCCCCCTTTAGCTCAAGAATCAAGTAGTCTAGGGCATCATGGAATTACGCACACACCGCTCCGCAGCCGCGTGCGTATCTTTTCCATTTGTGCACACATATTACATAATATACTATCACTACCAAGGTTTATATTGCATTTTTTAGTAAAACTGCACTCTTGCAATGGGTTTTTTTCGAAAAATTTTTTTGGTACATGCGTATTTTTGTTTGAAAAACACGAATTTGATAATGAAAATGTGAACAAACCACTATTTATGGAGATATTTCAAGAAAAAGTTCGAAATTTCGCCATCTTTTTCCCCCTAAGTTTGATTCATTTACAGCTACTTGCTCTTCTTATTTTATCATTGGACACATTATACAGTGTGTCCCACTTACCATGCTCACCATGGGTATCTTTTTAACCGTAAGAGATACGAGGTCGGTTAAATGACACCAAATGTGAAGTTCGTCAAGGCCAACAATAATGTGAAAAAATATTTTGATAAAATCTATTCGTTTTTGTTTTATACGCAAAAATCCGATTTTGATCATTTTCATGTCTCCTCCATAACTTCTTTATTTATGAAAATATTCAAATAGGAATTCCACATTCTCATGGCAGTTTTTCAAAGTGATTTTGAAAAAAATATGAAATTTATACCAACTCTTCTTGAATTTGAGATATCAGCACCAACTTTAGTTTTTCAAATGTAGGTGATAGCTCACTATGACTCAGTTACAAATACTTTTTTTTCTCTTACAGATGATATCTCGCAGTTATAGTTTTGTGTTGATACCAACGGATTTATCGTCATTTATACAAAAACAAATAATTATTTGGAAGCCGCCATCTTGAATTCATGAATTTTAATAGAAAATTCATGATCTCCGACCTCAAAAACCCCCACTTACCAATTTTGAATGGAATCTGAACAAATCTTGTCCGCCATCTTGGAGCAGCCATTTTTTTAAATTTCAACAAAAATTCCATAATGCATTGTCACTGAAATGTTCGTAAATCCGGTGACAATACATTATAGAATTCTTGTTGAAATTTAAAAAAATGGCTGCTCCAAGATGGCGGACAAGATTTGGTCCGATTCCATTCAAAATTGGTAAGTGGGGGTTCTTGAGGTCGGAGATCATGACTTTTTTTGTTAAAGTTCATAAATTCAAGATGGCGGCTTCCAAATAATTTTTTGTTTTTGTATAAATGACGAAAACTCCGTTGTTATCAACACAAAACTATTACTGCGACACATCTGTAAGAGAAAAAAAAGTTATTTGTAACTAAGTCATAGTGAGCTATGACCTGCATTTGAAAAACTAAAGTTGGTGCTGATATCTCAAATTCTAGAAGAGTTGGTATAAATTTCATATTTTTTTCGAAATCACTTCGAAAAACTGCCATGAGAATGTGGAATTCCTATTTGAATGTTTTCATAAATAAAGAAGTTACGGAGGAGACATGAAAATGATCAGAATCGGTTTTTTGCGTATAAAACAAAAACGAATAGATTTTATCAAAATATTTTTTCACATTATAGTTGGCCTTGACAAACTCCACATTTGGTGTCATTTAACCGACCTCGTATCTCTCACCGTTAAGAAGATACCCATGGTGAGCATGGTAAGTGGGACACACTGTATACTCATGATGTACTTCAATGAGACATTTTTATATAGAAAATTCAACACGAAATATGATTTTTATTTTTATGGCGAGTTTTTCTTATTTATAGTGAACAACCATACCAGATGACGGTCATTGATTCATTAGTCAATCCAAATACGAGATGACAAATGTCAACAGATTGCTTTTGAATGACATTACACACGCCATTATTTTGAAATGATATTCTTCCTTTTCACTAAATATTGATGAATCACAAAAAAATCATATTTCTACTTGACTCATATATATAAATGTGTCATTGAAGTACATTGTGATATATAAATTGTCCAATGATGAAAAAAGAAGGGCAAATTGTTCTAAATGCAATCCAAGAGACAGGCGGAAAAGAAGGTGAAATTTGTAACTTTGTAGTGAAATATCTAGATAAATAACTGCAGTTGGGACATATACCGGGTGATCAAGATTCTGGATTCTGCACCACCCTGTATTTGTTTCAATTAAATGTCAGTAGATAGTTGATCGAAAGTTGAGATAGGGACATGTGAGCCGTTTTGACCAATAATGAATAGTTTCGACAAAAAAAATTCCTAAAGTTGAAAAATGTCGATTTTTCACACCCTATATCTCTGTAATCATTTCCGCTAGACCCCAAGTGTGATACATCGATGAAATCAGCTCTTCAGAGAGAATCTGAAAATGCAATAAAATACAGGGTGTTCCATTTAAAATAACAAAGTTGTTGCTATTTTTCGATAGAAGCGGCAACGCCGCAGTGCTGAAAATATTTTAGATCGATAGACCAAGAGCAACTACGTGAGTCCCGTTCTCCATAAACGTCTAACGTACCATCCATCGACCGTGAGTTACCCTGTATGCGCATCTCATTGTTTTGAATACATCTAACCATACTTTTCTCGTTGTCATATCTAAAGGGGCTCCTGAGACATAGATAACCCTTGCGAGTATTTCATCAATGACTAAAATCACGATTTAAATTACCTGATTTTTCAATTTCAACCGTGATAAAAATCAAATATAATGAATTACTGTAAAAACAAGTCACCGAAGCAGATAACTCATCAGGGAGATAAAAAAACTAAGTGGTTGCACACATTATCTTGAGTGTAATAACGATTGTTTTCTCCAAGCGGCAGGGATAGTGGCTTTTTCCTGCTACGCTCGGCTATGAACTATCAGCCGCGGCAGTCAATCTACTACTTTTCTGCCTAGTAAAGCAAATAACTATTTTAGGCAGAAAAAGTTTGTTGCTATGCAACGTTTCAAGAAATAATTCGAATCAAATTGGTAATCAAAATTGACACTGACGTTGGGTGAACACAAAATGATGGATTATTTGGAGTTTGCTTGAAATTGGACGATTTTGGAGAAAAAATTATATGATTCACACGGCAGAATAGCAGATTCAATGCCTTGGTTGGCTTTCTAGCCTCGGCTACGCCTTGGGTATGGAACAAATAACTATTTTTTGTTCTGAAAGGAGAGCTGCGGCACGCTTTCGAAAATTTTCATTTCAACATAAGTGTCCGGAAGAGAATTTCTACCTGTGAATCTAGATAAAGATAAATGAGAGCTTTTGAAGTTCATCATTTCCATATTTGAGGAAAACATCATTATAGATAAAAAAATCAGATTTTTTTATTCATTCATATTTTGCAACTCTGCTGCAAATCTTTTTCTTTGAAAATGAGTGAGATATCCCAGGACATCGAAAATGGGACACAGCCTGTACCTACTGAGGAACTCTACGTCTGTTTTTAGTCCATTCTAGATTGAAAGAGTATTGGAAACCGTAGGGAAGTGTTGACCTTCACTTTGATTGGTTAATATTGGAGAAAATACTACACCTGCCTAATATTATGACTTATGACGTGGCGTGATTGTTGAAGTTTTCTTTATGTGAAGATGATCACAACACATTTCATTCATTTGTCGTATTTTTTATATGTTGCAATAAATCCTGAGAATGAATAGAAACTCAAAAGTGAAATTCAATTATAAGAGGCTATGGTTTTGAATTAGGCGCCATATATTTAGTTCTTCAGTGTAAACATTCCTTCAGAGGCCACACTGTTTCTTATGGTTCATTTATTCACACATAATAATGAAATTTACTAATTCAATAATTTACAATAGTCTGCAATAAAGGGTATATTGGTCGGGGTTCAACTGGGTTGATCTTCCACCACGCCATGAACAGTAAATAATCTTATACCTATACTTATAATTATCCTATTATCATAGATGATACATCTGAAAGTAATAAAAAAGAAACTATTTGCTATTAGACTAAAATACAAAAATACTAGACTACTAAAACACATCATGATAAACATGGTACAACAAGATAATATGATTAGGAATATGTTGTATACAACAAAAAAGTTGTCTTTTTATTTGGAATGTAGAAAAGGTAGTACATTATGTCAGTGGTTCTACGCCTTTGTGGCTTTGTTATCATTCCACACAACTTTTTTTGTAGGCCGAGGTGGCGGGTTCAGAGACAGGGACGGAGACAGAAACGGCAACGAAAACGGCTACGGCGGTCGATCGAATGGCGGTGGCGGCGGCGGCGGTTGGGGCGATTCCGGCGGATCCAAATCCAACGAATGGGGCGATTCTGGGGGACAGTCCAACGATGGATGGGGCGGCGATTCGGGGGGGAAATCGGACAGCTGGGGCGGCGGTAATGACGATGAAGGCTCTGGAGGCCGAGGTGAGTTGCTGTTTAGAATAACTTTTTTTTTTCACCAATTGCTTCATAACAAACTGTTATCCTTGATTATCCACACTAACAAGATGAACCAACCTTATGAGAGCAATGACAAGGTGAGCTACTTTTTGTTGAGTAAGGAAGGGTAGAGATCAGTGATGCAGAATATATTCGAAGTTTATTATCAGTATATAAAAGTTAGTGATTCTCCTGCTTCAGAAGGATATTCCTAGATTGTTCAGTAGCTTGCAGATAGGGCAGATTACGAGAGCTTTGCTAGCTCCGCCTATGAAGCAACGAAGCCAAATTCGGCTTCAACATTTTACTTTGGAGGTATATAATCTTGTTAGTGTAAATAAACAAGGCAATTATTCACTATGTTTACCTAAGGAATCAACTTTTGCTACTCACGGCAATAATAATTTTTATCTACAACTATCAAGGTCATCCATTGCTTACTAGATGATGATCAGTTGATGACAGTTGTTGCCAATAGGTTTGTTCGCGTCCGATAAATAAACAGTCCGAAACCATCAGAAGCATGTGCAGTTTCACGGAACTTGATAAATTCGTACTGTTCTGGGAAATTGCACATGCTCCTGATGGTTTCGGACTGTTTATATATTTAACGCGAACAAGCCTATTGTGAATTCAGTGATAACGACAGTATGATTGAGTATTGTCCAATTCAAATAGGTAGGTATTTTTGTTCTACTTAAGCACAGCACAATTTTACTGTTGGTGAACTACAGGCACATTCAAAAGGATGACCTTGGATATTAGACCAGTGCTGAAGCCTTTGAAAAAAGTAAAATGTGAAGAAAAATCATAGTAGGATGAAACTCATTGAAAAAGAAAGAGAATTTAACAAAGATGAAAGGGAAAATAAAACGGGCGATCTGAGTTCCGGAAGTGGTAGGGGGTGAGATTCAAGGGTAAAAAACGATTTATCTTGATTTCCAGCAAAACTACGAGCCCAATGGAAAAAAGTTGAATAGCAAAGTTTTAGGTAATAAAGAGACCTACAACTTTTTCAATCTCACTTCGTATCCAATATTATTTTTAGTCTGAATTGGTCCTTCATCCACATTTCCATCTGAATCACTAATTTCCTTCAAATCCTATCTTTAATATTTAGAACAATTATTTTCGCATGTTCCTTGCAATCTTTATGTAATTGAAGTGTAAATTTAACTAAATAGCTCAAAAGTGCACATAGTGAGAAAAAAATTCGGATTCGAGTTTTTTCTTTCTATTCTTTTCTGAGGTTATTTACTATAGTGATGTGTATATTTTTTCACATTATCAGAGAGAAGAGATTTCAACGAACAAAAAACGCCCCGAATTTTTTTAAAAGCCGATATTTTGACGTGAGAATTTTCGATTGAAAATTAGGGTGTTTTTTCGATATTAACCCATATAGCCCTACCGTCCTTTTAAAAGGATGGTAGAAGTCTATATTATATAAATGAGTTTAACTACTAGAAAATGGATGGCAGCACATGTACGTCGAACTTTAGTGTATGGAGAAACAATCTGCAGCACAGGTGTTTGATATAATGTTTGAGTTCCAAGAGTTGAATAGTTGAGTTTGTGATTGTGTTCATCAGCCATTTACAATGAGCAACTTGAGGTGAGTTATTATGTTTGTTATTTGTTATCACGATCACTTCTTATTTTATTCCAGTTGAAATAGTATCAAGTAACTTCTGGTACCATAACCATGAATCAAATTGAGCAGCAGAAATAGTACAAATAAATGCCGTCCTATTAAAAGGACGGTAGGTTTATTCACTATCATCAACTGAAATATTTCAATCAGTTATTGGAGAAAGCCATTAACTCTTGACCAGTTACTGGAAGAGTTAGATAATGATGAAAATGCTGAGGTTCCAGAACAAATAGCGATTTTTCCACCAGCAAATTCCTATGAAGATTGCGATACTGATGAAGATTCAGGGGATGAGATTTTTGTTGAGCCAAATAACTTACCAGGAGCACAACTCACAGCAGAGGTGGAAGTACAAATACCATCAGAATCAGACGATCGAGAGGAATGGGATAGTGATGATGATTTACCTCTAGCAACCCACGTGGAACGAAGAAGAGTTTCACTATGGAAAACGAACAAGAAGTTTTTTGACTGCGCTCCAGCTGAGGAAAATCACAGCATAGACGAATCCATGGTTCCCTATTTCGGACGACACAGTTGTAAACAGTTCATTAGAGGGAAGCCAATTCGGTGGGGGTATAAATTTTGGATTGGTGCTTTGCGGCTTGGCTATACAGGGTGATCCACGGTGGATGGCCTATTAGAAGTATCTGGAGAACGAAAAGACAGAACATTCTGAAAATTGGGATGCTCTGATAATTGAGCATTCTCTATCCGTCTAAAATATTTTCATCGATACAGTGTTGCCACTTCAACAACAACTAGCAACTTCGTTATTTTAAACGGAGCATCCTGTATTTTATTGCATTTTTAGATTCTTCCTGAAGAGCTGATTTCATCAATGATCACACTTGGGGTCTAGCAGGAATGATTACAGAGATATAGGGTGTTCAGAATCGAGATTTTTCAATTTTAGGATGGTTTTGTGTCGAAACTATTCATTATCGATCAAAACGGCTTACATGTCCCTATCTTAACTTTTGATTTAATTTCTACTGGAATTTAATTGGAAAAAATACAGGGTTCTCCAAGGTTCAGAATTCTGAATTCACCCAGTATCTGTTCCAATTAAATGTCAGTAGATAGGAAATCGAAAGTTAAGATAGGGACATGTAAGCCGTTTTGATCGATAATGAATAGTTTCGACACAAAAAAATCCTAAAATTGAAAAATCTCGATTTTGAACACCCTATATCTCTGTAATCATTCATGCTAGACCTCAAGTGTGATTCATTGATGAAATCAGCTCTTCAGGAAGAATCTAATAATGCAATAAAATACGGGTACTCCATTTAAAACAACGAAGTTGCTAGTTGTTTCTGATAGAAATGGCAACACTGTATCGATGAAAATATTTTAGACGGATAGAGAATGTTCAATTATCTAAGCATCCCAATTTTCAGAATGTTCTGTCTTTTCGTTCTCCAGATACTTCTAATAGGCCGTCCACCGTGGATCACCCTGTATAGTCCATTTTGATTCGTACCAAGGGTCTTCAACTACACTACCTGAGAAATACAAGCATATGGGACTTGGAGCATGTGTGATTCTACAGTATGCAGACATTCTGAAAGAAATGCCCTACGAAGCATTTCATATATATTTTGACAACTTCTTCACTTCACTTTCCCTCCTCAAAAAATTGAAGTTGAGGAAAATAAAGGCTACTGGTACGATCAGAGAAAACCATATTCCGAAGTCTCCATTCTCTAAAGGAACCATGGTGAAAAAACAGAAACGAGGTTATTTCGAGTATTTTTTGGCTGATGATGAGGTTGTCATCAGTAAATGGAATGACAATAGCGTTGTGAGTTTAGCTTCTAATGCTCTAACAGTTTTTCCGGTGGATAAAGTAAAATGCTACAACGAAAATATGGGGGGTGTTGATCGTGGTGATCAAAACCTGAGTGAATGTAGAGTTGGCATCAGGGGAAAAAATGGTATTTTCCCTGTTTTGCTCACTGTATAGATATGGCGGTACAAAATTCATGGAGATTACACAGAATTAATGGAGGAAAGCTTGAACAATTAGAGTTCTGAAGGTCTATTGCTACAAACTTACTGGAAACTCATAAAAAAATTAGAAAGAGGGGGCCTTCAAAATCGTCCAAGCATTTGCATGAGTTTTCTCGTTATGATAGATTGGATCATTTAGTTTTGTACAATGAGAATCAAAGACGATGCGCAGTGTGCCACAAAAAATCAAACTTTATATGCCGTAAATGTAATATCGGCTTACACCCTAAAGACTGTTTTGTGAACTATCACATGAATTTATGATTTCCCTAGATTATTCTGATGGTAAATAAATATTTTCCAACGTGTTCACGAATTTTATTCCACAGACGTACCCTTTTAAAAGGACAGCATGTATTGACTAATCAGAAACGACGTGATTTTTTTTTTAATTTTTCATGATACAACTACGTCAACTCAACTATAAAAACGAGAAATGAAACGGGTTTCATCCTACTATTATTTTTTTTTATTTTTTAATTATCGACCCTGGTCTATATAATTATGGTTCTTTTAGTTTCAATCGCCTTTCTATAAATACACAGAAAAATGAGAATTCACTGTTATTCATTTTCAACCATGAGTGACCATAAAATAGGAATTGACAGTTGGCAGAACAGAGAAATTCGTGTGGAGCACACATCAAACATGCATTGTTGATTGAATAGTAGCAGCCATCAAGCATTAATAGTCTGCAATTCTGATGTAGATGCTCATGTTCTGGAATGAATAATTTGCAATATGATTTATTCCACACACTGAAATTGCCTTGATACCTAAGGTTGACTGATTGGTTTGCACAACTTTTTTCCCTGTTGATAAAAATTGAAATAGGTTCATCCTTGTTTGTCATTTTCACAATGAAAATCATTGAAATATGTTATAAGTTGCTTATTAACATTTGAAAAAGTTTCTCAATAAGGGTTCCGTAATGATAATAAGATGTCAAATTAGTAATTTTGCAATATGAACTATCTTATTTCCGTAGATATATTACTGAACTCTCAAAGTTACTTTGATATTTGAATAATTGTACATCGATAGCTTGACAGTTGAAATAATCCGACCGCGAAACGGAAGGATCATTCTGTTGAACTGACACGATTTGTAATTATGCAGGAAGTTTGAGATGTATAACCATAAATAGTTTGTTTGAATTGTATTGCATGCAATTATTTTTTGAGTAGTTCTGATGGAACGTCAACATTTTACGACTCGCTTTGTTTGTATGTAACAATAGGTCAGTTCGTTTGTGTTGCTGAACTTGTTGAAGTTGATTTTGTTCAAATAGTTGTCTCTGTTCATGGCTTAATGT